TAACACTTTACAATAAGGTTCGTTAGTTAACTACATTAGTTAACATGAACTAATAATGAACTGCACGTATACAGCATTTATTAATCTTTGTTCATGTTAATTTCAACATTTACTAATACTTTATTAAAATCTTGTTAACATTAGTTCATGCACTGTGAACTAACATGAACAAACAATGAACAGCTGTATTTCTATTAACTAATGTTAACAAAGATTAACAGATACAGTAACAAATGTATTGCTCATGGTTAGTTAATGTTAGTTAATACATTAACTAATGAACCTTATTGTAAAGTGTTACCGTTTTGACAATACAACATGATGGTTTGGTAATTATTAAAAATAAAAAATTTCTCGCTTGGTTTTCTTGTGTTGTGCATGAATTCAAACACAATGAGAGCACGGAACGATAATGATGATTCAAAGCAATACTGCTATAGGCGCCACGTTTCCCGTGGACCTAACGTTACCATAGCAAATAATTTACAGACAATTACAAATACATTTTAGCATTTTATTACGTGAGCCTTATATTGTCAATCGCATGCATTAGTGAAAATAGGCCTACTACACATATAAAAGGCGCGCCGTCAAAGTCAAAACATGCACAAAAAAAACTATCAGTAAAACAAAATACTTAACGTACTTACCTCAATATGCTTCCTTAAGTTTGATGGCGAACTTTTGAAGGCCGATATTTCCTTATTAAGCAGGAGACAAAGGACGCATTTCATCTTGAATGAATCCTTAATAATACCACTAAAAGAAAAGAATTCGCTAAGATACGGCTACGGGTGCTCTTGATCCTTTGGCTGATTTTGGACTGTGCTCACAGCTGAATCACGTTCTTCCTCCATTTTCTTCCACTGATTGACTGTTATAATTTCTCTAATTTCGAGGTCAAGGTGCTGTGCATTGTGGTAATAGATGTGACATGACGTCACTTCCAAAGGACCAATGAACATGTCTGACCAATTTCATGTAATGTGAAAACGATTTTCATAGGCAGAATAAATAACATTTAAATTAAACTGGGCATCAGCGCAATTCAATTGGTTTGGTAATAGCAAGGGAAAATAGATGAAGTGATCTCCAAAAAATAAGTACTTTTTGACTGTAAATAAAATTGTAAGGAGTAAAAAGTACTTTTTTTTTCTAAAAATATGTAATAAAGTAAAAGTATTGATTTTTATTCGTACTCAAGTAAAGTAAAAATCCCCAAAAATAATACTTAAGTACAGTAATCAAGTAAAATTACTCAAGTACTTTACACCTCTGTTAATAACATCCTTCAAATTGCTCAATCTGTATCCATCTTCCCAGTTGAAGTTATTTCTATGTTTATATATCTGGATGGCTTCATGAACAAACCTTTGATAGTTGCCCGAAGGTTTGCAGAGCACCTTGGTCTCAGTAAAAAACAATATCATGAGAGCCCACAGCGTTATAGCAATGGTCAGCCACGGCGGAGGTATTAGTTCTGCCGTGTTTCAGATCTGCCTTGTGCTCGCTAACATGGTCCGAGCGATGACGTTTCGTTTCCCCATCACCACAGGTACAACAAGTTTGTAGACTCCAGGATATTGCATGTCAGGAATCGCATCCTTCACAGATGGGATTAGATCACGGATTTTGTGTACTGTCCTGAATCGGACCTGGATCTTGTGTTTGTTTAAGATTTTGGAAATCTTTTTGGTAACGCCTGCTATGTATGGTAACGTGATGGTTTTGATCGGCGTCTCAGGGGGTTGTTTCTCCATGGTTGGAGAAACAGCTTTGCGGATAATGCGGTCCGAATATCCATTCATCTTCAGGGCCTAGTGTACGTGTTCCAGTTCACTGGCTAGGTGGTGTTGGTCAGAAATGCAGTGGGGCCCTATGGTTTAGTGTTTTGATGAGGGAATTCTTCTGTGCCAGATAGTGGTGAGAATCAGGTTTCAGATAGGAATCGCCCAGATTTTACGCTTCGGGACAAGGGGGCTCTCTAGTTGGGGGCAACGATCGATTGGCACGGTCAATGCAGGGGTGGCCAAACTCGCGCACGCAATGGCGACAGCTGGCACACAGAGTGGTATCAGGGGCGGCAGGCACGTCGGTTATCGTCGGGCGCGTACAAGGGGTGGACGTTTGGGTTCTGGTTGACATGGGCGCATCGGCTGCTATCATATCGGAGGTTGTTTTTGAAACGTTGCCTTTTGCTAATCATTGTGTGGTGCCGGTGGTTGACGTGTGCGTGGCGGCGTACAGGGGAAGTATGGGTATTGTAGGTCAAATAGATACTCACATTTCATTGGGGGAGATTGAGATACCAGGGCCAGTATTAATTTCGAGAACATTAGCAGTTCCCTGCCTTTTGGGAACGGATTTTTTTAGTAGGATGCCCCTACTGATTTTCACCGGACAAGTTGTGTTCAGATGCCGTCAGGGCGGCGGTTGTTTTTTTTTTATTCCCCGCATCGACGCGAAATACAGGGGTTGTCGGTCCAGGTTCTGGTTAAGGAAACTTTGGAGATTCTGCCCGGTACTCAAGTTTTGGTCCCGCTGCGTTACCGTAGACGGTTGGACCTGTCTGACCTGGAGGCAGGTGTCCTCCTTACCCTGTCTAAGGCGGTATCCCGGGGGCTTACATTGGTGGGTGCGTTGACGCTGTTGCGAGTTGGTCAGGAGCCGTTCTTACAAGTCCGCAATGTTCGGGTAGAGCCGGTGGTGGTTCAGGCGGGAACGGTGTTAGCCCATGCAATGTTGATGGGGAGAGATTCCCTCAAGGCCACCGGGGATGCCGTGGGAGGCGGAGTGGTGCAGACAGGGGGAGAGGATGAAGCATGGATAGAAAAGCTGTGTGGGAAAAACCCGAAGTTGTCCATGGAGCAGCGGGCCGTGTTGTGATCCCTCCTACGTGAATATTCGGAGGTGTTCAGTAAGGGTAAGTTTGATATTGGGCGCACTTCCCTTCTGCAACACCATATTAACACGGGAACGGCTGCCCCCATTCGACAGAATCTGTATAGGTTAAGCCCGGGGGAAAAGGAAAGCGTGCAACTGGCGGTGGAGGAAATGCTGGCGGCAGATATTATTTCCCCCTCGCCGAGTCCTTGGGGTGCTCCCGTAGTGTTGGTAAAAAAGGCTGATGGCATGGTGCGGGTTCTGCGTAGACTTCCGCAAGTTGAATAAAGTGTCAGTCGCAGATGCGTACCCACTCCCCCGAATGGACGACTCGTTGGATGCGCTATCGGGGGCCAGATTGTTTTTCACCTTAGACCTTTTGTCGGGATTTTGACAACTTCCCCTGGATGAGTCATCCAAACCAAAAACGGCATTTAGAGCACCTCAAGGATTGTACCATTTCAACTGCCTTCCCATGGGCTTACACTCAGCCCCGGCCACCTTCCAGAGGTTGATGGAACTAGTCCTAGCGGGGTTGCAATGGGACTCACTTCTCATTTAACTTGACGATATGATTGTGTTTGGCCGCACTTTCGAGGAATATTTGCAATGGTTGCATTCCGTGTTGTTGAGGATACGGTCGGCATACCTTAAGTTGAAACCTGCGAAATGTCACCTGTTGCAAACCTCTGTGCGATATCTGGGTCACATCGTGGGCGATTCCGGAATAGCAACGGATCCCGACAAGACGGCGTGTGTGCGCGATTGGCCGACTCCTCAGTCGGTGGGGGAGGTGCACAGTTTTGTCGGTTTCGCGCCCTATTACCGAAGTTTCATTCCGCAGTTCGCGATGATCACTACGCCTCTTCATGCTTTAATGGCTAAAGGCCAAAAGTTTAGGTGGGGAGAGGAGGAGAATGCCGCTTTTGTTACACTGCGCAAAAGCCATGCCGATGCGCCTCCCCTGGAGTAGCCGGATTTTCCCCTATCGTTTACCTTAGATACAGATGCCAGTGACACGGGTCTTGGGGCTGCCCTGTCCCAAGTTAAGAACGGCGTTGGAAGGGTGGTAGCGTACAGGAGCCGCATCCTGTCATCCGCGGAACGATGTTACAGCATGACCAGGAGGGAACTCTTGGCCATGGTGCACTTTGTGCAACAGTACAGGCCTTACCTGTACGGTAGGGAATTCGTGGTCCACACGGACCACGCGGCCCTTCAATACTCCTTGCGTGTGGTTCAACCTTCGGGCCAACTGTCACGTTGCTTGGAGATATTACAGGAATTTTCATTTCGGGTGATTTAACCAAAAGGAATGCCGACGGGAGAGGGCTGTGCTTGTTTAACGGGCGCAGGACGATGTAAGCCACGGGGCGCGAAGCCATCTGGGGTAGTGGCGTCAGTGGAGAGCGCAGCACCCATTGGTAACGTTGCACCGGTAGATGGAATACTGGGCCTCACGCTTGCCGAATGGGGTCGGTTGCAAATGGATCACGCGTCCTTGTTGCGACTCTGGGGGCGTGCGGAGCGGGAACTAACGAACCCTAGCTTGGCGAAGTCCTCAAAGATTGTGCTGAGGGACGGGTTGCTTATGAGATGGGATGAGGGTTTCAACGCTACGGCCTGGTGGTTCTTACGGTTTTACGGGGTGCGTTGACTCGAGTGGTACACGAAACCAAATTATTACATCTCGGCGTTCGGAAGACGTTACTGACGTTGCAAAGGGGGGGTGTTGTAATGACAGTGTGGGGCGATGGCGGATGGTGTGGCTCCCCGGGACCATGGTCACTAATGGAAGGATTACCGGGACCATGGTTGCTAATGAGTTCATGAGCATTCACGCGACGGGAGCCAATGGTAGGGAAGGACGAGTTAATAAGCATTCCTTAGACGGGAACAAATTGTATTAAGGCATAGGGTGTGGTCGGGCCCGGCGAGGATAAATAGCAGTGTGAGTGAAGGTTCAGGGTTGTGCTTGGTGTGGGGCACTGCGTCGTCGTGCTCTGGGTCCGGGCCGTCTTCATCGTCCGCGAGTTGTCTTACAAGAGGAAGTTATGTTATCCCAGAATCGTGTCGTGTGAAACACCCGTGTGTATATAGTCACTCGTAGTTGCACGTTGAGTTATTGGTTGATATTTATTTGATAATAAACAAACAGAAGAGACGACGCCGTCTCTGCGAGCTATATTACATATGTGTCAGTTGATATGTGTGTACGTCGATGTGTATGTGTGTGTGATGAGTCCATATGTGTGTGTGTACGTTTGTGTGTGTGTGTGGGGAGCGGTAGTGTAGCGGTTAGCGCGCTGCGCTGTGAACCCGGCGACTCGAGTTCGATTCCCGCTCACGGCCAACACCGGTGACGGTTGTCAGAACCGGTCCTGGGCCTCCCCTAGGTCGACTCAGCCTAAAATGAGTACCTGGTGCGGTGTGTAAACATCACCACTAGGGAGACAAAGGCGGCCGGGCGTGGTGTTAGCCACCCCACCCCCTCGTGTGCCGTGCCTGCCTTCATAGGTGCTCGCTAACAGCACTTGCCCCTACAGTCTGTTAAGGCTACACGGGGGATATTTGTCTATTTGTGTGGGGAGCGGTAGTGTAGCAGCGCGCTGCGCTATGAACCTAGCGACCCGGGTTCAATTCCCGCTCATGGCCAACACCAGTGACGATTATCTGAACCAGTCCTGGGCCTCCCCTAGGTCGACTCAGCCTGAAATGAGTACCTGGTGCAGTGCATAAACATCGCCACTGAGGAGACAAAGCCGGCCGGGCGTGGTGCTGGCCACCCACCCCCTCGTGTGCTATTCCGGCCTTTATAGGTGCTCGCTAACAGCACTTGCCCCTACAGTCTGTTGCTATACGGGGGATCTTTGTCTTTGTGTGTAACTCCATGTGTGTGTATTTTAAGTCGATGTCTGTGTGTTTGAGTCCATATGTGTATGTGTGTGTGTAGGGCAGTGTGTGTGAGTCGATGTGTGTGTGTAAGTCGATGTGTGTGCATGGGTCCATGTGTGTGTGTAAGTCCACGTGTGTGTGTGTCTTAGTCGATATGTGTGTATAAGTCCGTATGTAATTGCAGGTCTTAGGAGGCTTCTTGAACGCTGGGCTCCAGTGAGCAGCCAGAGATGTCCTCTTCATCAACCGTAGGAAGCTGTGGACAAACCGACCCATTAGACCAGGGGTCCTCAAACTTTTTAAACAGGGGGCCAGTTCACTGTCCCTCAGATCGTTGGAGGGCCGGACTATAGTTACAAAAAAAACTATGAACAAATTCCTATGCACACTGCATATATCTTATTTTGAAGGGAAGAAACAAAACGGGAACAAATACAATATTTAAAATGAAGAACAAGTAAGTTAAATCAACAAACTTGCCAGTATTTCAATGGGAACTATGGGCCTGCTTTTGGCTAATGAGATGGTCAATGTCCAGTTCCATATTTGTCACTGCTAGTCGTAACAAGTGATGCAAGTGTGCAACCATTAGTCTAGATCTGGTTGGAGATTTCAAATGTTTAATTCTGGAAAAAGTCTGTTCACAGACATAAGTGCTGCCAAAGATGGTTGCCATTTTGAGTGCATGGTTCCTGAGATGAGGATATGTCTCAGAGGGGAGAGATGCATATCAAGAGGAATTTAGCATATTTATGGGAAATGCAGGAATGTGATTAGTACTACATATGCAGCACGGGCATATGTAGTACTAATCACATTCCTGCATTTCCCATAAATATGCTAAATTCCTCTTGATATGCAAATTCTCTTGTCAAGGCGCCCTTTCCCCCGCTTCCAACCCAGCTTATATATGCTCCAAGCTCGTGTGCTGTTTCATTCAGACGCTGTCTCCCCAACAGACCTGGTTTTCACCTGAGGACGGCTGCTTGCGTTGTGGCCGAAACGTCGTGAGAATTATTTTATTACTTCCCTTCTATGTGACTTTACCGAAAGAACCAAGAAGATGAATCCCTGCAGTCACGAAAGCTTTAAATCGAAAGATATCCTCTCCTGTAGTTGTTCCATTGATGCTTTGCAGTGCAGCAAGCTCTTCTGTGACTTCGAAATAGTCATTCGTCCCACGAATAAAAATTTGAAGTTGTGCAGAATCACGAACATCATTGCTTTCGTCGAGTGCCAAGGAAAAATAGGAAAGTTTTTTTGTGGAGTTTTGCAAATGCTGATGCAAATTGTCTCCCATTTCTTCAATCCTCCGTGTAATTGTAGGTCCTAGAAGACTCACTGTACTAAATAAATCGGCCTTCTCTGGACACATCTCTTTGGCAACAGAACGAAGGCATTCTTTAACAAATTCTCCCTCCACGAATGGTCTGCCAGTGCACGCTATTAGCTTGGCAACTTGAAAACTTGCTCGCAGTGATGAAATATGTAGCTGCTTCTGCTTCACAAAAGTATTTTGCTGAGTTGTTAATGTATTTTTCAGTTTTAATATTTTATCTTTTCTCACTTCTCCGACCAAACAAGCATATTTATCTTTATGTTGAGTTTCATAGTGTCGACGTAAATTGTATTCTTTGAACACAGACACTATATTCTGGCATATCAGACACACAGCTCTTTCCTTGTACTGCATGAAAAAGTAATCATAAGTCCACTGTTCTTTGAATATCCTACACTCCGAGTCAATTTTTCTCTTTCTTGACATCATTGTTTCCTAGGGAGTCAAAATTGCTATTAGTAAAATACCAATATATATACAGCGCTACAAAAACAATATACCAGCAATAACTTTGCCCACACAGAGACTTACAGACTGTACTGCCCATCAATGCAGTCTGATTGGGGGGAACTCCGCCCCCTCTCCCTCTTCCACCAATGACCGTCCTTCTCATGTAGAAAAAAAGTAACAGACAGGCAGCGGCGGCAAAAACACCCAGCGGGCCGGATAAATGTCCTCGGCGGGCCGCATGTGGCACGCGGGCCGTAGTTTGAGGACCCCTGCATTAGACACTACACACAACTAAGTACATATACCAGCTCAACTGTGAATACACACAACAATCAGCACCTCCTACTGGCAGACAAATGTCGATTTCACGCCAGGTGCTGAGTCACCTTGTGCCCACAGGGACATCTGTCATTGAGGGTGCCCTTTCAAACGTGTTGAGATGAGATGTGATGTAAAGCACTCTGAGATGCCCCGGTGAACAGAAAGGTGCTAAATCATTCTTATCGTTATCATTGTTTACAGCAATAATGGAATTGTCTATAGATAGATAATCTGTATTTGTAAATGAGGACCATGACGGCTTAACGAGATGGTTAGACCAGCTCATCATTATCATCATACACTGAATCGTGTGTGTATGAATATTTTATTTACGTTAAACGCAAATTATGTACTTGTGTGTGTGCGACGCACGAGTGCTGTGCGCTCACCTCCACCTCGCTCTGCAGATGCTGCTGCTCTGAGTGTGCGCTCTGCCTGTTTTCGCGGTAGGGCGCCAACTCGGCGTGCAGCTCCACCACCACACGTTCGTACCACTGAATCTCTGCCTGCAGAGATTCCAGCTGCCAATTCCTGTCAATGAGCTGTGGGCCACGGGAAAACGGCGGCAAAGAAACACAGAAAAGCATTTTAACGATTGCGTGCGGTTATTGTATAACATACAGATGCAACAACAGACACATAGAATCGCAATCTTTATTTATAATTGAGCAATGTAATGAGCTATTAAGCTCTTTTACACAGATGTCCATACACCACCTATGACCAAATGACCAGAATGCACCCAATCATCTCAGATCTTGGAAGAAAAGCATGGCTGAACTTCCATAGTGCTTGGATGGACGACCACCATCCATACAACCCACATATATGAATTAACCCAAAAGCTGCATTAAAATATCAGATTAAGATCGCTTTCCAACCAAACACGGGGAGTGAGATGCACGTAGCAGAGGGGAGCAGATGGTCTAGTAGTAGTAGGTACTTCTATTAGAGGTGGGATGGTGGATCGTAACATGGTACAGTCCCTAAATAGAGGATGCTCCGTAACCCAGTACGCATCCATACTGTACAACCATTAGTATGAAAAAGAAGTGGATACAGGCAGTCATCAACTTATGAACACCTGACTTCGGAATACCCGACCGACGAACCTGTTTCCATGAAATTTTCGGTTACCATTGACTTAAAACGCAAACTCGCACTTGCAAACTGAACTGTGGAACTATTTTGTTCAGTGCAGCGATCCTCCACGAGATGCCATGAGTCAGCCTCGTGCTGGGAGTGAATGTAGGTGTGCACACGCACATGTGTGTGTATGTGAATGTGAGTGTGTGGGGAGCGGCACTGTAACAGTTTGCGCGCTGCACTACGAACCCAGTTCAATTCTCACTCATGGCCAACACCAGTGACAATTTTCTGAATCGTTCCTGGGCCTCCCCTAGGTCGATTCAGCCTGAAATGAGTACCTGGTGCAGTGCATAAACATCGCCACTGGGGAGACAAAGCCGGCCGGGCGTGGTGCTGGCCACCCACCCCCTCGTGTGCTATTCCGGCCTTTATAGGTGCTCGCTAACAGCACTTGCCCCTACAGTCTGTTGCTATACGGGGGATCTTTGTCTTTGTGTGTAACTCCATGTGTGTGTATTTTAAGTCGATGTCTGTGTGTGTGAGTCCATATGTGTATGTGTGTGTGTAGGGCAGTGTGTGTGAGTCGATGTGTGTGTGTAAGTCGATGTGTGTGCATGGGTCCATGTGTGTGTGTAAGTCCACGTGTGTGTGTGTCTTAGTCGATATTTGTGTGTATAAGTCCGTATGTAATTGTGTGTGTAAGTCCATGTGTGTGTGTGTGTGTGAGTCAATGTGTGTGTGTGTGTGTGTCAGTCGATATGTGCGTGTGTTAGTCAATGTGAGAGGCGCAGAGGGTGTTGGAGGCCTTGGGGGGCAGGTCTTAGGAGGCTTCTTGAACGCTGGGCTCCAGTGAGCAGCCAGAGATGTCCTCTTCCTCAACCGTAGGAAGCTGTGGACAAACCGACCCATTAGACACTACACACAACTAAGTACATATACCAGCTCAACTGTGAATACACACAACAATCAGCACCCCCTACTGGCAGACAAATGTCGATTTCACGCCAGGTGCTGAGTCACCTTGTGCCCACAGGGACATCTGTCATTGAGGGTGCCCTTTCAAACGTGTTGAGATGAGATGTGATGTAAAGCACTCTGAGATGCCCCGGTGAACAGAAAGGTGCTAAATCATTCTTATCGTTATCATTGTTTACAGCAATAATGGAATTGTCTATAGATAGATAATCTGTATTTGTAAATGAGGACCATGACGGCTTAACGAGATGGTTAGACCAGCTCATCATTATCATCATACACTGAATCGTGTGTGTATGAATATATTATTTACGTTAAACGCAAATTATGTACTTGTGTGTGTGCGACGCACGAGTGCTGTGCGCTCACCTCCACCTCGCTCTGCAGATGCTGCTGCTCTGAGTGTGCGCTCTGCCTGTTGTCGCGGTAGGGCACCAACTCGGCGTGCAGCTCCACCACCACACGTTCGTACCACTGAATCTCTGCCTGCAGAGATTCCAGCTGCCAATTCCTGTCAATGAGCTGTGGGCCACGGGAAAACGGCGGCAAAGAAACACAGAAAAGCATTTTAACGATTGCGTGCGGTTATTGTATAATATACAGATGCAACAACAGACACATCGAATCGGAATCTTTATTTATAATTGAGCAATGTAATGAGCTATTAAGCTCTTTTACACAGATGTCCATACACCACCTATGACCAAATGACCAGAATGCACCCAATCATCTCAGATCTTGGAAGAAAAGCATGGCTGAACTTCCATAGTGCTTGGATGGACGACCACCATCCATACAACCCAAGATAACACCTATAAAGGCCCACATATATGAATTAACCCAAAAGCTGCATTAAAATGTCAGATTAAGATCGCTTTCCAACCAAAAACAGGGAGGGAGATGCACGTAGCAGAGGGGAGCAGATGGTCTAGTAGTAGTAGGTACTTCTACTAGAGGTGGGATGGTGGATCGTAACGTGGTACAGTCCCTAAACAGACGATGCTCAGTAACCCAGTGCGCATCCATACTGTCCAATCATCAGTATGAAAAAGAAGTGTATACAGGCAGTCATCAACTTACGGATACCTGGCTGACGAACCTGTTTACATGAAATGTATTAATTTTCGGTTACCATTGACTTAAAACGCGAACTCGCATTTGCAAACTGAACCGTGGAACTATTTTGTTCAGTGCAGCGATCCTCCATGAGATGTCATGAGTCAGCCTCGTGCTGGGAGTGAATGTGGGTGTGCACACGCACATGTGTGTGTATGTGAAAGTGAGTGTGTGGGGAGCGGCACTGTAGCAGTTTGCGCGCTGCGCTACGAACCCAGCGAACCGAGTTCAATTCTCACTCACTCATGGCCAACACCAGTGACAATTTTCTGAATCGTTCCTAGGCCTCCCCTAGGTCGATTCAGCCTCAAATGAGCACCTAGACCAGGGGTCGGCAACCAAAATAACAAGAAGAGCCATTTCTTTCCAATTCGGTACAAAATTCAGTATTTCAAGAGCCGCAATGCATCTGAGTACATACTGTACATATCGTCAAGAAGCAGCCCGTAAAGAGCCGCATGCGGCTCCGGAGCCGTAGGTTGCCGACCCCTGACCTAGACGGTGTGTAAAAATCACCACTTGGGATACACAGGCAGATAGGTGTGGTGCTGGTCACACATCCCCTCGCATGCCGTGCCGGCCTTCATAGGTGCTCGCTAACAGCACTTGCCCCAACAGTCTATTAAGGCTATACGGGGGATCTTTGTGACGCCGAATGCTGTGCACTCACCTTCGCCTCGCTCTGCTGGTGCAGCACTTGCAGATCCTGGAGCTGTGCGTGCAAGCTCTGCAAGTTTTCGTGGGATGGCGCCAGCGCAGCATGCAGCTCTCCCACCACGCGCTGGTAGTCCAGAATCCCCGCCTGCAGGGATCCCATCTGATTGTTGTTCTCAAAGAGCTGTGTGGGCCACGGGCATAAAGCAGCAGAGAGATACGGCAAAGCGTTTTAATGCCTGTGTACAGTTGCTATATAACATTCAGATACAACAAAGACATACAAACCAGTATCTTTATTTTAAATATAGGAATCTGAACAGCTATGAAACTATATTTAACAGATGTCCATACACCACACCACCCATGACCAAATGACCCAGAATACACTCAATATTATATCTTATAAGAAAATCACGATTGAACTTTGATAGTGCTTGGATGGGCGACCACCATCCATACAACTCAAAATAACACCTATAAAAGCCCATATATATGAACCAATTAACCCAAAAGGTGCATTAAAAGGTCAAATTAAGGGATGGGATCGAGATGCACGTAGCAACAGGGAGATTGTGTAGTAGTAGTGGGTACTTCTAATAGAGGTGGGATGATGGATCGTAACGTGGTACAGCCCCTAAACAGAGGATGTTCAGTAACCCAGCGCGCATCTATACATCAGTGTGAAAAATAAGTGTATATAGGCAGTCCTCAGCTTACGAACACCGGACTTACTAACATCCGCACTTAACCTGCTTCCATGAAATATATTTTTTTATATTGACTTTAAACGCGAACTCACACTTGCAAATTTTACTGTGGAGCTATTTTGTTAAGTGGAGCGATCCTCCGCGAAATCTAATGACTCAGACTCGTGCTGGGAGTGAGGCTTTGTGTGTGTGTGTGCGCGGGCGCACGTGTGTGTGTATGAAAGTGAATGTGTGGAGAGCGCCTTGAGCTCCTCCCTCAGCTGCATGAATACTGCCTCGTCTTTCTGAGCCTTATTACAGACAACGATCATTTTACCATCGTCATCATTAGCATCGTCATCATGAGCAGCCATGATTCGTCCACCTCTGAATGATTGTACTTCTTGTGATACTGCTGGATGAAGGTTTCCCTGAGCCATACCGGTCATGGTAATTTATTGATCGTACTTCATCACACTGGTCAGCAAGAGGTGGTACACCCAAGATTGGTTCAGATATCACTGGCCATCGATGCTACCCATGGCTGGAAATCAAACTCTGACAGCTTGGTTCAGAGTGCAGAAGACTAATCACACTAAATTACTATTTTGTATATAATCACAAATATTTAGTTTTCTCTCTACCTGTTTGTATATAACTTCTTATTGGTTTAAAATGCCGTATGTTCTCCCTGTTGTAATCTGTTACATCGTGTGGTTTGTTTTAGTCCCTTAACTCCCTGTCTTGCATTGTTTGTGCATTACTTTGTTCACGATAAAACTTGTGTTCACAATTATACTTTTTGCCATGCAGAAATGCATTATCATACGACATTAGAAAAAAAATTATAATGGGTGATTGCCTTCCTGGCTGCATCTACGTTACTTCATAACCCCTTCAGGTTTCAGCCACCTGTGATTAAGCCAGGTACATATGTGCAATAAGTTAATCAACTTAGCCTGGTCATCAATGACTGCACAGAAAAGCTCAGGAAAACAATGTTGGCTTTGCACTAAATCGAGCTAAATTCCAATTCTGAAAACCAAAGATCTGACTGTTTTGTGATGAACATTACTCATTACCCTCCATAGCATAGCATGTATCAAAGTACTTCCTCCTATTGTGTGGACCAGAGGGCGCTTAAATATTTCTCAGAAGTAGTTCTGTGATATATGCTTCTGCGGACCATTCTCTAACCTGCGATGGTGCACTGCTCAGCGGATGAGGACAGACCCCACGTGCACACAAATAGAGGTGTGGGGCTGCAGCTTAAGCCTCTAGTTACCTGGTGCTGCAGCCCGTCGATCTGGCCGCGCATGAAATTCATCTCCGCATCCGCGTGATGAACTGTGTACTGCAGCCGCACCACTTCCTGTGCCGTCGCAGCCTCCTCTGCCCTGGAGACTCCTAGCTCAGCCTTGATGAACTCCATCTTGCCCCTGTACAACACCACAAGGAGGCAGCACGGCGTCAAGCACGGGCACTCCCACGCTCGCTAACTCGCTCGCTCACTCGCACTGAGAATCCAACACAGAACCGTGGAAGATCTCACACTGCACTGTCCTATATATCTGATCTAATTGTATATTTATAAAGCGAATTCACTCAAAGCGTTTGACATAGTAAAAAAAGTGACAGAATTTAATAATTTAGATGGCAGGGGCATACAAGGGTTAAAGAATGAGAGACCGTGACATAGGGTACTTCAGGATCACGAATGGGTAGGGGAGGTAAAGGAAACAGCGGGGCAAGGGGAGTGAAGAGGAACAGAATGGGCATTCGAGAAGCGGTAAGCTGAAGGCCGCGGTGCGTATGTGCAGATCACGAAATGTCAGTAAAAGCAATTGCATGGGCATGGTGCGACTGGCGCGACAAGCAGAGCAGCCTGGGAACGTTTTTCAAACGTGGATTGTATTACAAATTGTTCCTTGATTTTCTACTTTCCCGTGTATCCATCACTCAACCTCAGTCACCCTGTGTTCTGCTTTTCGGAAGCACACGCTCGCACATGCGTGATCTGAACACCTTGGACGTTGCACGTATTTGTCCTCGTGCCATGAGTCCTTGACGTGACTCTACCGCCATCCCACCACCGCTCACCTCTGCCACCTCGCTACGGACTGCCATCCCATCACTCCCACACCCACCGAGCACCCTCCTAATCACGCCCCCCATGTCCCCCAATCTCACCGTCGCTCCCACCAGTGCCTGCGCTACGCACCTGGTGTTGTCGAGCTCTTCCTGGGCACGGCACTTCTCATTCTGCAGCATCCGCTCGCACTCCACCTTGTGCTCGCCTAGCCGCGCCTGCAACGCCACCAGTTCTGTCTGAGACAGCTCTGCAAGCTGATGCTGTTGCTCCAGAGAATTGGCTGTCGAAAGGGACACAAAACCACGGCGATGAAGACAGTATAGCCACCAGCGGCAGCAGGTGGAGAAAGAGCAGCAAGCATCAGGAGGAACAGTAACAGCAGCGGGAGTAGTAGCAGAGACTCAGGGATAAGAGGAATTAGGTACCTCAGACCTATTCACCAGCTTGCATTCAAACAGGGTCCAAAATAACAATACATGCACAGGAAGGACTTAGCGAGAGAGCATTTAGTAAACCCAGTGCAGTCCTACCATGTTAGATAGTGGAAGTGGTCCACATGTGAAATGTTTCTAGTACTTAGACTCGTTTCAACTTGTAAAAATAAGTTATTGGTGCATAGTGGTCTACAAAAATGAGTGTTCAATGGGTCCGTGGATTTAGAAAGATTGGGAGCACAGGCCCCTACCCACCAGTCTCCTCGAAGCAAGTGTTGGTCTCCTGCAGCCGTTGCTGCAACTCCAGCGCTTCATGCCGCAGGGTGTCCACCTCAGTTTGCTGCGCCTCTTGGTTGGCATAGAGGTCACGCACGGTCGCACTCAGCTCCGCGGCCTCGGCGCCCAGCCGCTCGGCTTCAGTGCCACGCTCTCGTGCCACTTCCTGTGCCACCACCAGGTCGGCCTCAGAGCGCTGCAGCAGCTCGTCACGCTCCTTCAGCTCCTGCGGGAGGAGAATGGGCAGTATCTAAATTACAGGTACTAGGTGGATTGTTATCATTGTGTAGTGTTGTAAAGGATGGACTTGTAAACTTCTTTATGGCACACACTGTTTATTATCTTAATACACAGTCCCTATCACACAAAGGGGGTATATGGTCCACTCACCCGTTACCCTGAGGAGACACAGCCTCCGGACCTTTCAGGCTATCTAATCTCCCTGCTATCCTAGCGTCCTCTGGCTGGACCTAGGGGATCTCTCCCCAACCACTGGTTACACTGAGCCCTAGCCCTGATAAGGGCTGGAGGGCTTGGTCCAGGGTCCTAGATGTCTTCGGCCAAAAGCTCTCAGCGCTCTGGCTTTTCTACCTGTTCGTGGCCTGGTTGTTCAATCCCCGGCCACCTTGTAGGACCCTCCGATTGGTCTTTCCCAATCTGGCGTTTGGATCCTACCTCACCCCCTTTGACCCTGACCGTTTGATTGAGCGGGATAACCTTGTTTACGATCCGCTCTCTCACAGTTTGCGAACAGCGAGTAGTTAACACCACTACAATTGCAAGATCGTGAGAGGTTGTGGTGGTGGCTTAAGGGAGGCTTACATCCAGCAATGGATGAACCTTAGCCAATTATGAAAAGAGCTCCAAGGGATTATGTGGCTTATGAAGTATTTTCCAGGACACCAATCAATGGCCCCGAATGACAAGGGAGCTAGAGTGTGGGTAGGGGGGGGGCTGTTGCGAGAGTGGAGGCCTCACCTTCTGCAGGACTGCGATGTGCACGACGTGAGCGTCGTACTCTGAGTCGGCGTGCGTGTGCGATGCACGATATTCGGCCAGCTCCATGCGTGCCAGATTCAGAGTCTCCTCGTGCTCCTGTCTCAGCTGCTCTTGAAACCGCTCAGTCCTAAGCGTGAACTCTGCCAGCTCCGATGACGCGGCTTTGGCGTCATGCATGGAACGCTCCTCGGCCTCCCGCTCACCCCGCCGCGCTGCCTCCAACTCCGCCTGCAGGCTATTGATGGCCTGCGAGTGCACCCGTAGCTGCTCACGGACAGATGGGCACAGTGGCACAGGCACGTGTATGCATAGGTGGGCAGCCCCTCATCACAGACACGTGTAGCGTGCAGATGAGGACATTTAGAGACATACTGACACACGCAGTATGTAGTTGTACAGAGAAATAGAGACAGAGACATGGGCAGGAGGCACACGAAAAGAAATAGAGAAATGACAAACATGCAGAGACATATACACACAAAGACACAAGCAAGTCACATGTAAAAATTTGGACACATGTACGGAAAGTCACAGTGCATATGGAGAGACATGTACATAGCCACAGGCACAACATGTACAGGGAGACAACGTAAGCATGCAGAGACACGGGGATCGAGTACAGAGACGCACATGTGCCCATAAAGGTGGCACACACCCATGGTCGTAATCAACATACCACAATCACGTTTAAAGAGAATATAAAATATTTCAAATAATAAAAGAAATTCCAAAAATATAACCATGATATATCAACCATTTGTAAGCATGCATATAACATGGATACACTCTTCATCATAAGATTATGAAGAAATTCCAAGCACCCAAATTATCGTCTTCAAATGGAGTCAATATTCAGAACAACTCACAATGCCATGTCGGTCATGGGGATGTGTTTTACTATACTTCCCCATGCTGGTCAGCCCCATACAGGTGTATTAATCAGTAAAACATACTTCATGCTCATTCTGTGGGGAGATGCTATGATACAAAAATTGTGTTTGATCTGCTTTTTTTCTTTTTCATTTTCAACAGTATTAGGAGTCAAATTTAGCCAAATTAAGTACAGAACCGAAATATTATTCATTGGGTTTTTTTGTGCACTCATTGGCGACCAGGCTGAGACCACCAACTCATTACGCTTGGGAACCCGGTTAAATCACTGGTTGGGCGGCTGTAATCTGGATTTGATCCTGGCATCTCAGCAGTGCTGGCACAGCCACCTCCCAGAATGCACTTATTTAATGGTCCATTTCCTTGACATTCAGATCGCACTCTGAATAAAAACTCAACACATTCATCAAAAACGATGTACTCAATAGGGCAGAACATCTAAACGGCGACGTTTCAGGCAATGGTCCTTCTTTACAGCAATATCCATTGCAGTTTTATTAACGAATATGTTGAGGTTTTGTTATCCATGCTTGTGCGCCACGGAGCTTCACAACGAGAACACGTTTAATTTTAGCCGCGCTCCGTGCAACAAGGGGACGGGGAGGGGGGTTTGGCGGCAGCCAGGATACCTCCTCAGAACGCTGGATCTCTAGTTGGTGCAGCATCTCGTGGAGGCTCTTATCCTTCTGGCTCAGTGCGCGACGCAGGGTGTTGAAGTGCGCTCGTGCCCTGCCCAGGTTGGCCCGCAGATTCGACACCTCCTGAGACAGCTGGTGCATTTCGTTCTCCGGCATTGGCAACTGCGACGGGAGCAAGGGCACATGGCATGGGCACGTTAGCTCCTCCCAGTGTAAATCCTGCCTTCATTCGCATTGTGACGGACGCCATTTGACACGGATGGTGGAGACAACACCATGGCACATGGCAAGTGAAGTGCCTCATACGCAGGTAGACACACATCGGACAGATACGCTGACACCCACACACCCACGCAAGACAACACGATTCCTCACAGCCTAAACACCGTGGTAGAACGCGCAGCAGCGTTGGTCTCAGAAACTCACCCACCGCCATCTCTGTTTACATTCGCTCAGCCAATGAGAGTGACGAACGCTCTGGGGCAACCAGCAACCAACCCCCGCGATTCAATTATGACGATGTATGGTTACGAGTACATAAAAAAAAAGTTTTGATAATTTTGTCAGTGTTGTTACAATATTTGTTATTCAGTTTTATCACAGTACGCTCTGAGCCACGCAGCGCTCGCCAGTTTTTAAAAGACACCCTGGTCCGCCGACGTGTTTGCTATTCCTTGGTCTCTCTTTGCCTTGTTTTCATATTTTTTGTGAGCATCTTAGCCCCAAAATGTCTGGAAAGAGGCCTGCAAGTGTTAGTGCTGGAAATGAGACCAACAGGTCAAGGAAAAGCATCACTTAGAATGGTAACATGCAAGTGATAAGGTCGTTCGAGTGGGTGAGCATCAGGCGAGTACATTACATAATACTTATTGATAATACAAATATATATTTGTTTTGATATAATGTTTACTATCTGTTTTATTACTGTAATTAAATTGTGCTGATACTGACACCCCAATGAAGCCCTCTTTTATTGTTCATAAGAGACAACGCTGTAGGGAAGGCATCCCCATATGTACAATGGTATAATAACCCTTCAAGCGATGATTCGATGAATGCCTTTATTATGATGAATGCTCACTTCTCCACCTACGCATCTTGAGCGCTAAGCGAGGACTGCCTGTATTAATTCCATACAGGTTTGCAGCGGTGGCCTCCACTCCAGCCTAGCTTTGTCTCCCCTCTCTTGCCAAGTACAACTCTGCCATCAAAACATTCTGTGAAATGAATATGGGATTGTTATAATTGTACTCTCCATTTTGCTTCGTTCTACTGCACAGTTTAAAGTATTTTTTTAGTTATAATTACTTTTAAAATTTTATAATCATAAGAGAATTTCAATATAATATTCTGAACATCTGCAGTTTTAGTTGGACGTTAAATATTTTCAAGTGAATTTTATGCTAAATTTCAGCTTTCCAACGCTTCCTTTTTAATACATATTTTCTTCTACAACATCAGAGTGTAGCGCCACATTAAATGCGCACTACAATGACGATAGTTTAAAGCAGGGGTCCTCAAACTACGGCCCGCGGGCCACATGCGGCCCGCCGAGGACATTTATCCGGCCCGCCGGGTGTTTTTGCCGCCGCTGCCTGTCACTTTTTTTCTGCATGAGAAGGACGGTCATTGGTGGAAGAGGGAGAGGGGGCGGAGTTTCCCCCAATCAGACTGCATTGATGGGCAGTGCAGTCTGTATGTCTCTGTGTGGGCAAAGTTATTACTGGTATATTGTTTTTGTAGCGCTGTATATATATTGGTATTTTACTAATATCAATTTTGACTCCCTAGGAAACAATGATGTCAAGAAAGAGAAAAATTGACTCGGAGTGTAGGATATTCAAAGAACAGTGGACTTATGATTACTTTTTCATGCAGTACAAGGAAAGAGCTGTGTGTCTGATATGCCAGAATATAGTGTCTGTGTTCAAAGAATACAATTTACGTCAACACTATAAAACTCAACATAAAGATAAATATGCTTGTTTGGTCGGAGAAGTGAGAAAAGATAAAATATTAAAACTGAAAGATACATTAACAACTCAGCGAAATAGTTTTGTGAAGCAGAAGCAGCTAAATATTTCATCACTGCGAGCAAGTTTTTCTAGTTTCCAAGCTAATAGCATGCACTGGCAGACCATTCGTGGAGGGAGAATTTGTTAAAGAATGCCTTCTTTCTGTTGCCAAAGAGATGTGTCCAGAGAAGGCCGATTTATTTAGTACAGTGAGTCTTTTAGGACCTACAATTACACGGAGGATTGAAGAAATGGGAGACAATTTGCATCAGCATTTGCAAAACTCCACAAAAAAACTTTCCTATTTTTCCTTGGCACTCGACGAAAGCAATGATGTTCGTGATTCTGCACAACTTCAAATTTTTATTCGTGCGACGAATGACTATTTCGAAGTCACAGAAGAGCTTGCTGCACTGCAAAGCATCAAAGGAACAACTACAGGAGAGGATATCTTTCGATTTAAAGCTTTCGTGACTGCAGGGATTCATCTTCTTGGTTCTTTCGGTAAAGTCACATAGAAGGGAAGTAATAAAATAATTCTCACGACGTTTCGGCCACAACGCAAGCAGCCGTCCTCAGGTGAAAACCAGGTCTGTTGGGGAGACAGCGACTGAATGAAACAGCACACGAGCTTGGAGCATATATAAGCTGGGTTGGAAGCGGGGGAAAGAGCGCCTTGACAAAATAATTTCAATATCAAGAGGAATTTAGCATATTTATGGGAAATGCAGGAATGTGATTAGTACTACATATGCCCGTGCTGCATATGTAGTACTAATAACATTCCTGCATGTCCCATAAATATGCTAAATTCCTCTTGATATGCAAATTATTTGTCAAGGCGCTCTTTCCCCCGTTTCCAACCCAGCTTATATATATGCTCCAAGCTCGTGTGCTGTTTCATTCAGACGCTGTCTCCCCGACAGACCTGGCTTTCACCTGAGGACGGCTGCTTGCGTTGTGGCCGAAACGTCGTGAGAATTATTTTATTATGTTTTATTTTTATTATTTTATCACTTCCCTTCTACGTGACTTTACCGAAAGAACCAAGAAGAGAGGATATCTATGAAAAGGTTTGCCAAACTGTGAATGGTTTGGAGCTGAACTGGGCTAAACTAGCCAGTGTGACAACTGATGGTGCTCCTAGCATGGTGGGGTCTAAGAAAGGAGTAATTGCTCGCATTAACCAAGAGATGGACAAACATAACCATTCTCATCCAATAGCCATACACTGCCTCATCCACCAACAAGCGCTGTGTAGTAAATCACTGAAGTGGGACTCGGTTATGAAATTTGTGGTATCTTGTGTTAACTTCATTAGAGCTCATGCACTAAACCACAGACAATTTCAAGCATTTCTGTCTGAGCTAAATGTTGACTATGAAGATGTTCTGTATCACACAGAAGTCCGTTGGCTGAGTTGAGGGAGAGTTTTGAAACGTTTCTATGACTTACTTCCGCAGATTACAGCTTTTCTGCTTTAAAAAAACAAAGAAGTACCAGAGCTCAATGATGCAGAATGGAAATGGCACCTTGCCTTTCTGACAGATGTAACAGAGCTACTCAACAGTTTCAATGTGCAACTTCAAGGAAAGGGGAAGCTCATCTGTGATATGCAATCACATGTCAAAGCATTTGAAGTAATATTAGGCCTCCTCATCAAACAAGTGAAGGAGGAAAACTTCTGCCATCTCCCCACAACTCAAAATCTGTTAGCGGAAAAACCATTGGTTGCATTCCCAAACAAAACGTGTGGATTCACTGGAAAAATTGCAAAAGGAGTTCCAATTTGGATTTAAAGAGCTTCATCTCCATGAACAGGACATACAGCTTTTCCGTAACCCATTTTCTATTGACATTGAAAATGTGGATACAATTTACCAAATGGAACTGGCTGAACTGCAGAATTGTGACTCTCCGAAAGACGCATTCAAGTCAAGCAGCCTTCATAATTTCTATGCATCTCTCCCCTCTGAGACATATCCTCATCTCAGGAACCATGCACTCAAAATGGCAACCATCTTTGGCAGCACTTATGTCTGTGAACAGACTTTTTCCAGAATGAAACATTTGAAATCTCCAACCAGATCTAGACTAATAGATGCACACTTGCATCACTTGTTACGACTAGCAGTGACAAATATGGAACCGGACATTGACCATCTCATTAGCCAAAAGCAGGCCCATAGTTCCCATTGAAATACTGGCAAGTTTGTTGATTTAACTTTACTTGTTCTTCATTTTAAATATTGTATTTATTCCCGTTTTGTTTCTTCACTTCAAAATAAGATATATGCAGTGTGCATAGGAATTTGTTCATAGTTTTTTTTTAACTATAGTCCGGCCCTCCAACGGTCTGAGGGACAGTGAACTGGCCCCCTGTTTAAAAAGTTTGAGGACCCCTGGTTTAAAGTGATTTGAAGCATGTTTTATTTTCAAAATGGAAATATGGTTTTGGGGGGGGGCATAGCTATGTGACGTCATATTTGAGGGGGTCTGACTTTTGGTGACGCCGTGTGACGAGGGGGGGGGGTTAAAAATCGCCCAAAATTGCGTGACGTCATTTATGGACGGCCCCTAAGTCAAGATTAGTAATGTAATTACCAGCGAAACGTCGTACTCAAATTCTAAATGTTGTGGATTCACTCTTCAAACACACCGGTGGGCTGAAGAAGTAACTAATTGGCGTTTTGTTAACGTGACACATTTTTTACTGATTGGCCGTGTCGGGTGGTGGAGGGTTGCGACACATTTATAATAACGCGATCTCACCCAAAAACCGATTTGAATGACGTAACAGAAATTACAGTGGTGACGTCATTGGCTCCACCCTATATGGGCGGAGCCAACCCTATATGGGCGGAGCCTACGGCTCGTCCTTAGCGCGTCACCAAATACCACGTGACCCCCAGGCACAGCTGCTGGACAACGGCAGTTGGTCCGAGATGCTGTCACCATGGCAACGCAAACAAGGACCACCTTGCCCAGAGAAAGCTCCTTCCGACTAAAATCCTTGATGAAACCCTCAATCTGTGATATTAAACTATGAACCTCCTTACCTACGTATCAAGCGTTCAATTTTAAAGTGAAACTTAAATAACGGAAAAAAAATCGATATTTTTTTCTCTCGATATGATCACGGTATTTATTTCGTATAACTCCGATACCGCTGAAAGGCAAGAGGTGGCGCCACTCACCTCCACTGTTGACGAATTCGAAGTCTCCAGCGTCGCTTGCAACTGCTGCGCTCTCTTGAAGAACCTCATAGTTCCTGTTGGGGGCGCAAGAGATAGAAGCAGCCGCTCAGCTCGCTCGCCCTGTCGGAGTGACGTCAAAGCCGGAGGTGACGTCATTGGCCCCGCCTACTGTGGGCGGAGCCAGAGCCGTGAACCCCGCCCCCTCAGACACCCAATGGGGGCAGAGGAAGCTCCCTGCGACTTGAGACTCGGAGCCTCCTCGCCACGTGTCGAGAGTTCAATGTCGCAGTGAAATTCACTCACGAGGCGACTGTCTCTGGTCTTGGTGTGCTCCTTTGACTGTCGGTGTTTTGCCGTCTTGCCCAAGCTTGGATATGATGTTGACAAATCTACAGGAAGGTATGTGCTGCACAGTTTGTTTTTTTGCGACATATTTATTTATGTCTTGATTACATTTTCTCAATCCTGACTCTAGTATCCTTTATTACATTTTGTTGTTGTTGATGCAACTGGCTGACCCGCCCCTTCTTGACGTGTGTGAATGAGAACGCCAAACTCATGAGATCCCTCTGGGATAAATACGCGCACGCGTGTAGATAGATGTTGCAGACACGAATAATTGACGATAATTCACGATGTATTAAGTACTTTGTTCAATGTTTTGTCACAAATCAAACGTCGAGCATAAGCAACAAATATGCAACACTCCTGAGACGGGCACCTCACTTACCGACCTCACCTCGTCCTCACCCCTCGTCCTTCTCGCCTCGTCCTCATCCCTCTGCTCGTTATCTTCACTCACTTCATCCTCCTCACCTCATTCTCACCTCATCCTCCTACCCTCTTCGTAGCAGACACGTATAATCTGTTTTTAAATCCTTTATATTAAGTTCACTTGCTTGCGTGCTTACTTGCTTACGACCGTGCAAATCTTTCGGTCATTTTTTAACCCACTTCCCGTGATCCAATCGAGCTGACATTTTGCACACAGACTCGTTGTGCGTGACAATTTATTTTAGTGAAAAAAATTTCCAAAATTTTACACTGTTTAGGGAATTTTTTTACAATATTTAATTACCAATTGCTTAATGCTGGCAGACAATCATCTGACCCATAGGTGGCAGCCATTTCAAGCCAGAGGACGAGAGGACTCTAGCCGCACGCATATAAAGGATTTATAGTGAAAAACTTTGTTTTTACGGGTTAAATTTTTACCTATATAAATGTCATTTTGTGTCTCTGCCTGTCTGTGAGTGTTCACGCGCTTGCGAGGGATTTGGCTCTCAAACGGTGGGGTTCGCGTAAACAAAAATTAACCAGGTACCACGCCGGAAGCCCCGTGCTTGGCATAGGCCAGGGGTCGGGAACCTTTTTGGCTGGGAGAGCCATAAAAGCCAAATATTTCTAAATATATTTCATTGAGAGACATATAGTATTTTTAACGTATAATAAATTAAATATGTCTTACTTTTAATGCGACTTCTGGTCACGGAACCCGTGACCCGAGAAATTGTATCTTCAAAACTAATTTCTGTTTACTTTAAAATGACACAGTATTATTAAGCAATATCACAAGTATTTTAAAATCAGTTCCAAACTGATTTTATTTTTTTATAATTATTTTTTTTCAACTTACATGCCATATATGTCCGCTGGCATAGGCGATTCCTTTTTCACGCCCGTCACCTTAAAATTAGTTAAATTCGCGTCTTTTGCCGATTTTTCTTTATTTAAAGAGAAAGTTTCGCGATTGTTTATTTATTTCCCTTCGCCGCGCGCGGGCTGACAACGCAGCCAGCTGCACTTGCGCACAACGCGCACGAGGTGACCCCCCAGCAGCAATCCGCACGCGCCGTCGCCAAAGGTCAGGCGCACACTTTTGTATTATGTGCATTTATACAAGACGTAAGTCGCACACATTAGTACTATAAGCATTTGTGTAATTACACTCGGCACTGCTCACATGGGTTGCCCCTAGCAACGCACACGATCGGCACGGATTTTAATTCGCCTCAAACATGCAGCAAAAACACACGGAACACGTAAATTATTACTAGTAGGAACCCACTGGTTCCACCAGCCCACAGGGGATTATTGTGTCCGTCCGTCGTGCAGGGAGGGGCTGGGTGGGGAGGGAGGAGCTAAGTGGGGAGGGAGGGGCTGGGTGGGGTGGGGAGGGGCTGGTCACCCTGTGGTTCCCTTATAACACATTCCTGCTGCAAAGGGAGCTGGTAGGAACGTTGGGTTGCTCGGTCAATGGCCAGGATCAACGGCGGCGTGGTGTATTCCGCAAATATGCCCGACCGTGAGGGCGGGCACAAGCCGGCGTGAGTAGGTTAAACGTTGAGTTTTATAAGGGCACCACGGGGTGACCAGCCCCTCCCCGCCCAGCCCCACCCCTCCCACCCAGCCCCACCCTCCCCACCCTCCCAACCCAGCCCCTCCCCACCCAGCCCCTCCCCACCCAGCCCCACCCTCCCCTCCCCACCCAGCTCCTCCCTCCCCACCCAGTCCCTCCCTGCACGACGCACGGACACAATAATCCCCGGCTTGTGCCCGCCCTCAGTCGGCCATATTTGCGGAATACACCACGCCGCCGTTGACCCTGGCCATTGACCGAGCAACCCAACGTTCCTACCAGCTCCCTCCGCAGGAATGTGTTCACAGTGCGATGTCCTCTTCACCCCACCCCAATGATACCCCAATGCGTCCTGAAACTACTATAGAGCCCCTGCAGATTATTCTTCTAGCGCTTACATGCCATTATTGTAGCGCGGCCGGGGGGAGCGGCCCAGCCCCCAGCCTGCCAAGGTCACACCTCGGCGGGCTGTGAAATCTAGGCGAGGCTGGGGGCTCTGCACGTGACTACGCCTCACTACTTTGTGCTATAGATTCGATATATACTGCTATACAGTCAGCATGTACTACTGTAGTGCTAGCAGGTAACCACCACAGTAACTATGCACTGCTGTAATCATAGCAGGTACCACCACAGTCACTTTGCACTGCTGTAACCATAGCAGGTACCACCACTGTCGCTTGCCCAGCTGTAATCCTAGCAGGTTACACCACAGTATGCACTGCTGTAGTTAAAGCAGCTACCACTACAGTATGCTCTGCTGTAATCATAGCAGGTAACCACAGTCAGTATGCACTCACTTCGCATACGAGGTACCACCAACGTCGGTATGCACTGCTGTCGTGATAGCAGGCACCCCCACAGTCGGTATTGCTCTGCTGTAGTGAAAGCAGCTACCACCACAGTATGCACTGCTGTAATCATAGCAGGGACCACTACAGTCACTATGCACTGCTGTAGTGAAAGCAGGTACCAAAGTCCGTATGCACTGCTGTAGTTAAAGCAGGTACCACCACTGTATGCACTGCTGTAATCATACCAGCTACAACCACAGTCAATATCACTGCTGTAATCATAGCAGGTACCAGCGCATTCAGTATGCACTGCTGTTGTGAAACAATGTACCACCACAGTATGCACTGCTGTTATCATAGTAGGTACCTTGTGGATTGCCAGATGCACAGATGAATATGATAGCGCATGAATGAATGAGTGTACAGCTGGACAGCAAATGAATGAACAAGATTTTTTATCGCCATTGAAAAAAAACTAACATTGTAATCAATCACCCTTATACGCCTGCTGAACCAACGTATCCTACAGCAGCATACGAGTGCGTTTCATACATTACCTGGGTGTTTGTTTCTCATGTATGATCGGTATGCGTTCGAGGCACGATCCATATGTGATATCAAACAAGAATGTACAGCTGGACAGCAAATGAATGAACAAGATTTTTTATCGCCATTGAAAAAAAACTAACATTGTAATCAATCACCCTTATACGCCTGCTGAACCAACGTATCCTACAGCAGCATACGAGTGCGTTTCATACATTACCTGGGTGTTTGTTTCTCATGTATGATCGGTATGCGTTCGAGGCACGATCCATATGTGATATCAAACAAGATCTTTGCTTGCTTTCCGAATGATCTGCATGTGTTTCACGCATGATCTCAGTGTTTCACACGTGTTCTGTGTGGGTGGCCGGGACCATCCTCGGCCGCCTTTGTCTCTCGAGTTGCGATGTGTACACATTGCACCAGATACTCATTTCAAGCCGACCTCTGGAGATCCAGGACTGGTTCAGATTATCGCCACTGGTGATGGTGGCCGTAAGCGGGAATCGGGTCATTGGATTCATCATAGCGCAGCTTTCTAAACCCACACACTCACAGACAGGACTGCAACTCGTCCACCTCGCGCATCTGTGCCAGGAACTTCCAATCGTGGAGCGACGCGCAAATGAAGCGACCTGACTTCCCATCGGGACATCATGGCTGCAGGCGGTTGAAGCTATCCCGCAGGAAGCGAGCGCAGGTAACGCTCACCTGAGCGTCGCGAGGCGTGCTCCACAGGTGGTATCAAGTGGGACAATGCATGTGCGTCCACGTCATGGCCCTTTCACGAATCCGATGCTGTATGGGGACCTCCCCACCACCACGACCTAGTGGATCGTTGACCATACTTCACCACGCTGGTCGGTGCGGGTTGGTTGCAGGCGTGGGAGGCAGGGCACTATGCAAGGGTTCATGTTGCTGTACTGCCCCTTTGCTGACCACGTGGCCCTTGCCAGATTCATTCAGCGAGTGCGCAATCGCCGAGCCATGCGACAGCGCCCCCGTTTGCCACGTGCAGCTCTTGTCGATGATGACAACAAACACGCACCCTGCTCTACGAAGCCTGACAGTGGTCATGATGATGGTGGTGGTGGTTCTTGTGGTACCTCCCCATCAGATAAACAAAAATTAAACAATTTTTTTTATTTTACCCGGTAAAGCTCAATGAGCTATATAGGTGTTTCTCAGAAGCTACCTGGCTATCACAAATGATAGCTCAACGAAGTGGCTTATCACGTGGATATGTATTGCAGCCTCGATATCACAGCCAAATACAAACCCTCTGAGGGTAACCATGAGCCCGGGCAGCAGGGGGGAAGTGGGCAGATGGTCAGGGGCCAAGGAGCAAGGGGAGGATGGAGCAGGGCAGCGGGGAGTGGGTCAGTGGCGCGGAATGTTCGAGTGATGCAAATGTTGACTGATTTT